CCCTCCCCCCGGGCACAGTGCCAGCCTTACCCTGGGCAGCGGGGAGCGGAGCTGGGCCACGTCGTGCAGGTCGGGCACCAGGGGCACCAGCAGGCGGTTGGGCAGCACCAGGAAAGCCGCGATGGAGTCCATGATCATTGAGTCCGACAGGGAGCTGCGGGGGGGCATGGGCAGAGCTCAGCCGGCTGGGCCAGTCCCCCCCCATCCCATAAACTGGGGGGGGGGGTACCAAGGAACGGCTGGGCTGCGGGGAATGGGGGTGTGGACACAACCTGGGGGCGGGGGGTTTGCAGACCCCCACTGGACAGGGAATCAACGGAAAATATTAAGGATCCCGCTGCCCTCCCCGCCCAGTTGCCTCCCTGCCCTCCAATCCACCCCCTGCTGCGTGGGGCATTCACTGGGCGTGGGGCTCCCGGGCGGGGGGGGAACTCACCTGAGCCCTGGGATGTCCAGGAGGTTGGTCATCCCCGTCCAGTTAATGTCCAGAGTCTGGGGGGGGGGGAAGCAAGGAGGGTGTTAGACTCGCCAGCTGCTCCCCCCCAGCTGGAGGGGACACAGGAATCCCAGACAGACAGGGTGGGGGCACTTCTTATCAGCACCTCCCCACAAAAGGCATCTTGGCGTCTCCCGGGGGCCCTGCAGTCAACCCCCCCCGGCCGCGGCCGGGGAGCCGGAACCTGGGCCTGTCCCAGAGCGGGAGCCAGGCCAGGGGGCAGGGGGTGTGTCTGGGGAGGGGGCCGTGGGGCCACGACACCTCCAGGGACTGATGCCCCCACAGCACCCAGTCGCTGCGCTGCAGGGGGAGCCTGGTGCTCAGAGCCCGGGGAAACCCAGGTCCCCCGGCCCGGCCCCGGGAACCATCTGCACCTCCGGCCTCCCACCCTCGTCCCCAGGCCCCACACACTCCTCAGCCGGGGGGTCCTGGAGCCGGGTCTCCCTGGGGCCCCCAGGCACGGGGGTGGGGCTGTACTCACGGGACGGCGGATGAAGAACATGGTCAGGGCCCCCACGATGGGCATGTCCCCGATGAGGGGCTCCAGGATGACGCGCAGCACCCCGTGCAGCTGGGGGGGAGACGGAGAGTCAGCGCCCGGCCCAACCCCCTGAGCCCCCCACCCCACAGACTCCCCCCACCCCAGTAACCCCCTCACGCCTCCCCCATCCCCCCACCAGCTCCCCCC